AATGGAACTAGGTTAACATTATAATGGGGCAACATATGGACAATATTAGGTTGAGGAATAAGTTCGTGGCGTTTTTATATTTTCTTATACTTTCAAGAATGCTTTGCTGTTTAACAGAAAGTATAGTGATTCTTCGTTAGAGCATTTTCTGCTCTACAAAACAGTTTAATCGTCCTTTTGAGTAGTTTTATCCTTTATTACTTTGGAGGCTTAGAAATAGAGTATCCAGACGGTAAAATAAGCATTTTCGACAGCTGCTGTTTTTTGCATTTTATCGAGGCCAAAACGTTGCTGAGGCAGCCCGGGAGATTTGCAACGCTTACGGAGAAGGTGTCATAGCCGAGTCTACAACACGTAAATGGTTTGTAAAGTTTCAGAATGGCGATTTTGACATGACACGACCCATTGAATTCTGGAGAAATGGCATCGACAAATTGGTCGAGAGGTGGGAACAGATAGTAAACAGCAATGACGAATACATCATCAGCTGATTTATTGCTAAAACCATTGATCTTTGTTTAAATAAAAGTTTTTGAAAAAATAACGCTACGAACTTATTCCTCAACCTAATACATATAACGATCCCAGTAAAGAACAGGATTTTTGAAAATTTCATGCAGGTTCCAGACAACCTAATAACTAAATTGAATTTAGCAGACCAGTTAAGGTGATTGACAATACACCCTGCCACAGGAAAGACCGTCTTTTGATCGGATAAACTTCCATTTCTTTTTCTTAAGAATTGGGCCCATAGCAAAGCCCGTCAGGTGAGATGATCTGACCTGACGAGGCTATTCCAAGTCCACCGAGTTCACATGATTACAATCCCTCTGCCATAGTATAAGGATACAAACTCCGCAGAGGGATCACCGTCATGCGAGGTTCTGCGATGAGATGAACTGAGCCCCTAAGGAGAGAGTTCTCCTGACGGGTCATTCAAAGGAAATAGTGTGTGTTTTAGAGTGCGTCAGGGGACTCGTAAGTTGCTCAAAGCCAACTTACGAGCTCCCCTGAAGATATGTACTTTTGCGTCAAATGTGGAGCATCATCGACCCAAAAGTGCATTCCGTCTACAACTTTACGATGCACTTATGATCCTTCATGTAACTCTTACACATTGGCAAAAGAGTTTACCATTGAGCGGGTTGAACCATGGTCATTGCTCAGTGGCCGCCACCAACCATTAAACCACAAATTCACACGACTAAGTTGCAAAAGTCTAATTGAATCAGTAGCGCATGCCATGAATATTTGCAATCAATTGTTCCCCTGTACCTTGCCTGCCTTGGAGTGAGTTCACCTGACGCGGTCTTCAGATGATCTCTGCTAAGGGGACTTTACTACGGGCC